ACACTTCTTCATGGTGATAACTGTGCTGAGGGCCACTAGGTATGTAGAGAGTGTTGACCCTTTTAGCCGCCTTGTTTGTCTTAGATGACAAAGGTATTCCGCCACTTGAGGATGTGTTGCTTTCATCGCCGTGAAACCCTTCCTCAATGCATATTTCTCAAAACTCTGCCACTTGTTGTCGTACAAGTTGCGGGTTGATCTACATAGAGCTAATGTGCTTGCTTGGTGTGCGGATGAACTAGTAGGTTTGGCCACTCTGGGAGTTGCAGGGTTGGATTTCCGAGTTCTTGTATGAGAATGGGAAACCACACTCTCGCTGGCCAGTAGGGCGCGACCAAATTCAGTTGCAGCTTCTCCGTCTGCTTGATTTTCTGCAACACCTTCGGTATTAGGGCTGGAACGCGTGAGCGTTTAGTCCTTCCCAAGATATGCTTAAAGCATCTGTTGCCCATGCTTGTGGATCTGGAATCGGAGAGACAATTGTTGGTAGTTGTTTGTTGAACTTTGTTGCAAACAGGTCTATCAGTTGAGATCCTATCATCTGAATGATGCATCTGAATGCCTCTGGATGTAACATCCACTCCGTCGGGGATGGTTGCGTTGGATGAGATAGGGCGTCTGCTATCACATTTTTGGCTCCGGGAATGTGGCATGCTTTTATGTCAATGTTCAGGTTGTCTATTATGCTGAATAGCTGAAAGGTGAGGTCTAGCAGATTCCTTGACCTTGTTGATCCTTGTCTGTTGATGTAGAACGCCACTGTGGAGTTGTCCGTATGGATCATCAGCTGTGCGTTCCTTAGTATGCTGGACCAATGTAGTAAGGCGTTTATTACTGCTTACATTTCGAGCATGTTGATGTGCAGACTTTGTTCCTGACTCGACCATTTTCCCGCTGCCACTTTGTTGTCGAGGTGAGCTCCCCATCCCTGAAGAGATGCATCTGTGTAGAGAAGAGTGTTGGACTCCGGCTCTGATAAGTAAGTTCCTCCGCAAACATTCGACTTCCGAGTCCACCATAGTAGGTATGGTTCCAATTCGTCCGGTAGTTCGAAGGAATCCAGACTGTCTAGATGAGCGTTCACAACAAACACTTGTAGTGGGCGCAGTTGTAGTCTTCCTCTGTGTGTCATGTCTTGTGCTGACGTGAGGAGACCGAGTAGTGGTTAGTGGTAACGGAGAGAGTAGTGCTTGAGATATCATCTGTTGTATCTTGACCCAACGTTCCTCTGGAACGACTATGCGATTTGCTGATGTGATGAGTCGTATTCCTAGGAATTAAAGATCCTGTGTAGGTTCTAGTTCCGATTTGAGGAGACTTACTAGCCATCTTAGTTGAGTGAGTAGCCTGATTGTGAAGTCTAGTTGCAGTCTGAGTTGACTGGGATCTTGATGAGCTTGAATCCCGTCGTTCAGGTAAAATGCACTGCGTAGACCTCGATGATGTAGGTATGTGATGATGGGCTTTGTCACTCGACTAAACAACCAGGGGGCCTGACGATATTCCAAAAGGTAGCACCTTCCATTGGTAATGACGTCCGTTGAAGAGGAATCGAAGGTATCTCCTTGAGTCCGTGTGTATTGGGATGCGAAGATACACATCCTGTAGATCTATGCTGGCGAGGTAGTATAACGGATGGACGACTTGTCGTAGTTGTGGAAGGTGTATCATCCTGAACTTTGCTGGTCTGCGTAGATAATCCTGGTTGAAGTTCCTCATGTTGTAGATTAGTCGGAACTTTTCCTTGAAATTTTTCTTTGGTACCAGGAAGATTGGGGAGTAAAAAACGGGCGTGATGAGTTCCTGTTTTATTTCTTCGACTGCCTCCTTCTTGAGTAGAGTTGTGATGGCGTTGAGTAGTTTCCCCCTCTGGTCGGTAGCATAGTTGTGCGTCTGAGGAGTGCTTGTCAATGGTGGAACTGCTTGTAGTTGTATCTTGTATCTTCTGCGTAGTATCTGGGATACGTAGTTGTCCTGAAGAATTCCCCAATTCTCCCAGTAGCGTTGTAGACATCCACCCATTGTCGAAAGTTGTATGGGAACGGCCGGGGGTGGAAGACTCCAGTCGTTCCGAACCCGTCCATCAACGTCTAGCATTCCTGGCACCTCTGAATCCTCTGCCTCTTCAGGGGTTACCTCTGGGAGCTCCGATTGGGCGACAAAAAGAATCCTTGCCTCCTCTGGAAGTGCCGTATTTCTTCTCTCTAGCTCTCTGTATCCCCGCAAACTTCAATTTGCCAGAGTAGCGTTGAGATGTCTGTCGGATAACAATGGCCAGTGTATCGATGGACTTGATCATCATGACCTCCCTAGACTCCTTCGTAACTTCTTTGGCCACGTCTTCAATTTCCCCTGCGAAACTATCTGCTGCTGACCATGGAGCTCTGTACAAAGTCTTGTGAACTTCTCACTCCAATTACAGGAAGATAGTAGCCCTTGTCTTCTCAGTAGTGTCAACCCTGCTGATTTTGATGCCAGATGCTCCGATATAAACTGCTGGTCTTTCTTCTGGTTCAGCAATGCCGAGTAGATCATACGATCTTCTTCCGAGGTGGAGTTCCTAAACTTCGCAATGAGGGTTTCATTGATGGCTCTTGATCTGGCTAGACCAAAGAAGGTACGTCCTGGTAGTTGTGTCTAGTTGTGCTAGCTTCTTATCGTCCACTTTATAAGTCCTGGTACGGGGGTCATTGATGATTTTGTAGTTCTCGTCTATCTCTGGGGCCTTAATGAAGGGTTCCATATGGTGTAGAGAGAAATTCTTGGCGTTGAACGGTGGTATCCTTTGACTCTGGAATTTCGTTGCCTTCCTGAAGGCTGTACTGAGGTTCTCTGGTACATTCAACACAGGATCTAGACCGTTGCCGTTGTGCTTGCTCCCTGAGTGGAGATCTACCTGGAGACATTTGCGAATGCCTTCGTGGAGATGAGTGTGGAGACCTGCGTAGCGACCTATATGTGCGTGAAGTTGTGCGTGGCGATGAACGTGAAGATCTTCCTGAAGACCTGCGTGAAGGTGATCGATCCGTATAAAGATCCTCCCTGGAGTCTTGAGACGTATTCCTGCGCCTTCGTGAAGGTGAAGATTCTCTTCCATGGGATGTGAAGTACGTTCGCGCAGGTCCGTGATGATTGTCCAAGTCTGAGGTCGAGGATGATCTGCGATGCTCCGGTGAACATCTGGTTCTCCTTCAGGAATGCTCCTTTTCTACTGCAGGCTCATCGTTGTCCAGGTTGACAGGTTCTCGGGAAGTTGTCGTGGATGACTGTCGACTACGTGATCCTTCACGAACGTTCCCTTCTTCAAGCAGGCTGCCATCTTCACTCGGATGCGATCTGCAGGCTGCTTGTCCTTCGTGCAGGTTCATCGTAGATGGTGTCTTCACCGCAGCCTTCTCCTGCGCGAACCTCCGTTCCATCAGGTCCATCATCTGCTGAGTAAACTGCTGCATGAAGATACCAGGGTTGAAGGTCTGCGCTGACAACTGCTGCTGCTGTAAAGATGACGACGCATTTAAGAGTGCTGAGGCTCCTTCCAAGGACTGCCTGTCGTCTCTGGTCTCTGAAGTCTGTGTTGATAAGACAATGACAATCTCTCCTGGACCCGGAGCTGCCATCTGCCACAGTCAACATCTCCATAGAATCCACCGGCAAATCACTGGAATGGTGAATCTCAGCAGACAATAATACACGGTTATCAACGCATTCACTCTGTTTAGACATGACATGTATACAAGATGAAATATCATGTCAACAACGTGAATAAACGGAAAATTTGGTACAAATTTCAAACCATATTGCTGGTATATCCTTGCTAAAGACCGTATACAGCTAATTTAGTAGTCAAAGCCTAAAAAAAAAGGATATAATGCCGTATAGGGGACCCAGGCGCTCTCACAACCGACCTCTAGGGCGAAGAAGGAGAGAGTGAAGAGCATGTCTGATCATGTGACGGGTTTTGGCGCCAAATAGCATAGGGAGGCTACTCGTGGGGTGAGTGATTTTACGTCCGCTTTTTTTAAGGGAGCTTCAAAAGGGGATTCAAGTGTTCCACTATAGTTCGCAAGAGGAAGGAGACAAGCAATTAAGCATGAGTCAGGATAAGGAAAAATATGAAAATATAGTGTCACTGTCCACAGCAAATTCACTCTAAGCGACCTGCGTTACAATGAACTAGTGTTAAGTATAGCAGAGTTATGCCCCCTTTTGTTTGTACCTATCTGACAGGAAAATCCGTTTTCATCATTTATTGCAAGCCATTTATATGCTGAGTGTATAACGTTATACATTAGCACATAAACCCATTCCATATATATATGTATGTTATTCAGGTATCAGGCAGTATTTTGTTTGCTTACACTCTCCGTAGAGATGCCAAATAAAATAAATCATCGCACAGTGCTTTTATATGTGTACGATAGCAAACAGAGAAATTTACTGGTTTTTACCGCACTACAAATTTTTGGACAACACTTTGCAGTGTCCATTTTTCAAACCGCCCAAGTATCTGCACTTGAATTTACACCATTGGATAGGAAATCTTTTATTCTACATTTTTGTGTAATTTTTCGGCTGTAGGTATAGTCTGTTTGGCTCAAAAGCGGACCGATGAATTGCAATCTAACTCGAAAACTAATAAACATAAAATACTCAATGAAATACTGATCATAATGAAAACGTAGACCAACTCTGAGAGGTGTTTGCAGAATTTATGTCCTAAAAATAAAAAAGTTGTTTAACAAACTATCATTAAAATATCGACACAGTTCACTATTTGTTACGAGGGAGGAGTGCAGAGAAAGGAACAGCCGGGTGTGCGAGAAAGGATGGAGACGGCACAGCACAGGTTAATGAATCAATAACTTTGTCTGCACTTGTTAGGACAGGTGCTGTAAAATATTAAAAACAATCATACAAAAATCCCAGCTGTCCTCTATGGATATATAATGGGGTCCAACAAGAAAATGCAGTGTATTTACCAACAGTGATTTGAAAAATACCTTTGTCTGTTGCCAGACAACTCTGGTAGCCGGAACAAGCATTTTGACAAATTCACAGACTTCTGGGCTAAATCTGGTAGCGCAGAAATAGCCTTCGCCAATGACACCTGAAAGTAGACCTTGGTTTTCAGCAGTAGACACATTCAGTTTATTGTAACAGTAACAGGGTAAGTATTCACACACAAACCCTTCAACAACTAGGCTAACCTGTCCTCCTAAAATATAGACAGTGGATTAACTTAACATTGCTTGGTCACTTGATCCAATGCTCTTATGCCACAATACTTCACCACCGAACTTAGTGACAAACTCTGCTGAGCTAGCAGTCTTGCTTGATACCGATAAACTTATTGATTGCAAATAATATTTATGCCAAAGTGAGACTACAGGTGGATTCATGTATATGGGCTCATGTTATAGAATTATACAACTCCTTTTAGTGAATATATTTTACATCAGCTGACAAGACAGCTACTTCTGTTAGATGTATCAAATGTCAAAGTGTTCAATTTTGCACCCCTATGCATCCCATGTTACTATTAGGGCCTTTCATTAGTGAAAAGTAAAAATGGTCCAACCAGAATCGATCTGAAAAATTCTGGCAAATACAGAAATCATATGGATGATTTGCATTGGTTCCTTCCCACAACCAAAATCTGAAAGCAGGCAGTCTAAAATGATGCAGATATGGATAAGTTTTTAAATTTCCTTTCCCTGTCAACACAGCCTAATATGTTTTCCAATAATGAAAAAATTAGTCTGATTCACATGACCCCTGTATCACAGAAACACTGAACATAAGTATTTTTAGGGAAACCCAGGAAGTTTTGTATGATACACCTGACATTGATCATGGACATGGCGGCAGACTGAGAAAGGGAAAACTTTCATTGCATAACCAAACAGATTGTCAAGTTTTGTAATCTGTCAGTTTCATATACATTGACATGAATAAAGTTTATTCTAATACAAACTTTTGTCATATAAATTTAATGATACTGTCTTAATGAATTTACCAAAAACCTTGTCGATTGAACTGTTTGAAGGCAGAGTACAGTTAAAAATACAAAACTGTCTCTTGAGTCTCTGAGGAATGTCATTGCGACCTCCGCCAGGATGAATCATAGCTGCAATAAACTGTACATCTATGATGGACAGGAAGTCTCCAGGTTTGTCCAGACTGTACATTCCATGCATCTCCATCATCTGACGAGTGATCTCATTTGTTACCTGCCACAAATAGACAGCATCAGTATACATGCACTCACCCCTCATACATCCATTGTTCAATTTGATATTGCAAGAGAATGTATTATTACTTTCATGACGGCTTACGCTCGATTAAATATCTTCTCTAAAGTATTTTAATAACATCTTTGATTAACGTAAACCATGTGAACGTCGCATTTCTACTACCAACGTATGTTTAGATCAGTACATCCAGACGAAGCTGAGTAGCCTAGCTGACATTCCACGATTGCATTGTGGGAATGTAAACATTGCGAACGCTACGTGTTGCTGAAAACTTGCGAGTCGAATTGAGACATATAAAACGTCAGAAAACATAAACGTAATGTTTCCACCAGTAATGTTAGGTGAGTGAAGCAACTGCAAACCAAGAAACGGGATGCAACGCAGTAGTTTACTGTAGGAGGCTGTACGAGGCGATGACAACTGACATGCATCGTGACGTCGCTTACATTGTGACATAATGTAAAATGGTTCGATTACAAGGGGGCACACTAGAATGGCGCAGTGACGGGATAACGTCATTCAATTGTTACGTCATCAAAAAACTATACCTTTATTGTCTGATAATGTATTTTTTTTTCGATTGTTCTAAGCGCTAAGCATCTTAGAATACTTCTTAGGCAGAAAACATAATAGAATCAAGTAACAAATGGTACAACAATTTATAAAGGCAACAAAGAAATCAATATTTGGCACTGCTCTGTGTCCAACTAGTGTGCCACGATGATTGATGTGGAATAATAACTAAACCCTACAGAGAAAGTGTACTTGTTTTAAGTTTTGCCACACACTTTCATTTGCTATGACATATATTTTCATTAAAATTTTAAGTCTGTGTAAAGCTATGATCAATGATTCATTTATTAAAATTGGCAAACAACTCTGAACCATACCACTTCACGATAATCTTCAGAAAGACCAAATGAAAATATTTTCAAATCGATTATCTGTAGATATGATGGTGCTGAATTGAATTTTGAACCAAAGCATGTTTTAGTTTAGCTGACCTGATCCCCCCACGCATTGATGGTAGGCATGTTGATGTCATCCACAAACACTGTCATCTTTCTACCACTTGGAGGTCCGTACGTGCTGCCCATCCTCTTTTCAACATAGCTCTCTACTGTTCTCTGGCAAGGAGACACATCATAAAATTTAGGACAATTATCATGAGGAAAATATACTGTTCAATTATTATAATGTCAATTTTTGTATCTATGTAGTATTTTCTCAATCATCTAGTACAACATATTAAATCATGGTACAAATGTATTAAGTTTTCATGGTCTTTCTGAAATAATTTGCAAACAGAAACAGATGAACAGAAGTATGTTTTTAATGATTGTTTTACATGAAACACAGCAATATTCAAGCCTTTTTAAGACAGACTGTTGATATTGCCGCCATCATTGTGTCCAACTCCTGGTCACCACGAAATCACCTTCCAGTGCCTCTATATTTATCACCATTTATACTTGATTGATTGTACTATATGTTTTGAATTCCCTCTTGAAATTAACTTATTTGGGAGTCCAAGTATCCAAATTAACCATAAAATTCCCCTGATGACTCAAATAATTAATTGGAAAAAATAGTGAAAAAGATTAAAATCATGTTTGTGAAAACATATATCCAAATATGATTTAAACACTGATGCCAATCCAGATGGGTAAAGTGAGACTGATGATATGCTGGAGTTGCTGCTTCACTTCACTGGGCACTGAAATTTGTGTATATCTTGAAATCCAATGATGTGTCTGGACCTGGTAATAATTTCTCATAATGTGTTCAGCTTTTGACAAAAAAGGTTGTTGGTTGTATAAAAATGCTGGCAACATAGACTTCCTGGTTATCAAATCAAACCAGACAAACTAGAGATCAGTATCCATGCTGCTTCTTACGACCAGCATGGGTTGGTAGGGACTGGTTCTTCTCCAGAAGGAAAGGTACTGATACCCATTTGTTTTTTGCAAAACACTTATGCACACAAAGGTACTAAAACAATGTATGACTGTGACTGTGACAATGTTTACACAGCCTTAGAAATTCAGGCTTTCTTTAAAACATAGCCTGCATTAAAACATTTCTGCATCCTAATCACATATCAGGAATATAAATATGTAATATGCTAACAAATTTGTGATATATATTTTTATGTCAAATTTTATTCTAATAACGTAAAGTGTCAGCCTAAGAAAACTTTGTTTTACTAATCCTTAGAGTTTGTAGCTAGTCCTGCCTCAACAAGAGAAACATATTTAGTCAGTTTTATTCTGTCAGTTTTATTAACCTCCAATTGTCACAAAGCCCTCACATACTACCTGTGAGATTAGCGGAACTAGTATGAATTAAAAACCTGTCTGTACACACCTGGAACATCATGGGTGTGGAAGCAGAAGAGAAATTGAAACTTTTGCTGAGGTGGACATCAGGGTCATACTTGGCCATGTACCCCTTAATCATCACAGTCTTAGCTGTACCCTGCTCACCGATCAGCAGCACTGCCTAGAGACAACAGTCACAAGAAGTCAGTTAACAGATCAAACAAACAATTAACAATGTCATCGTGCCTGAAACATAGAGTGAGTGAGTTGGGTTTTTACGTCACTTTTAGCAATATTCCAGCTATATCACTGGCGGGGAACACCAGAAATGGGCTTCACGCATTGCACCCATGTGGGGAATCGAACCCGGGCCTTCAGCGTGACGAGCAAACGCTTTAACCACTAGGCTACACCATCGCCCCTGAAACATAGAGAGAAGAAAGAGAATTTGCTCTTATTGTCCCCCGCCGCAACGCGGAACGGGGGACTATGTATTCAGCAGCTTCCGTCCGTACGTACGTCCCGATTCTTGTTAACGCAATATCTGATGAACTGTTGTACCCAATGTCTTGAAATTTGGTGACAGCCTACATTGGGGGATTACGCAGACACCAGTCGATTTGGGTGACCTTGACCTTATTTTCAAGGTCACCACGACACTTTGACCACTTTTCAAACTCTTGTTAACGCGATATCTCATGAAATGTTGTACCCAATGTCTTGAAATTTGGTGACAGCCTACATTGGGGGATTACGCAGACACCAGTCGATTTGGGTGACCTTGACCTTATTTTCAAGGTCACCACGACACTTTGACCACTTTTCAAACTCTTGTTAACGCGATATCTCATGAAATGTTGTACCCAATGTCTTGAAATTTGGTGACAGCCTACATTGGGGGATTACGCAGACATCAGTTGATTTGGGTGACCTTGACCTTATTTTCAAGGTCACCACGACACTGACCACTTTTCAAACTCTTGTTAACGTGATATCTCATGCACTGTTGTACCCAATTTCTTCAAAATTGGTGACAGCCTACATTGGGGGATTACGCAGACACCAGTTTATGTTGGTGACCTTGACCTTATCTTCAAGGTCACCACGATACTTTGACCGCTTTTTAAAGGCGATATCTTATAAAACATTGCACCCAATGTTTTCAAGTATGTTGACAGCCTACATTGGGTGATTATGCAGACACCAGTCATTTCAGGCATCTTGTATGTGACCAAAACATAAAAAGTAGTAAATATAGATATTCCATTCTTTAGCGGCAAGGGGACATTGCCATATCAGTGGCAAACACTTGATCTCTTTATATGTTAAGCACATTGGTTAGTTCTACAACAATATTTCATCTGTTTTGCACTGTACCTTTTGAGTCAGTGAGTGGCATGCTATAATTAGACATTTACTTTATTTAGAGTATTGGAATATACGAGACAATGCATTACATCTCAAGTCACCAGAAGTCCATCATTGTCTGTAATGTTCATATACCCTGCCTAGGCCTATAGTTACAATTTAGATCACTGCTGATGAGAGGTGAATATAACCATCATTGTCTATTTTTACTACAATCACTGTCCTTGTAATACATAACATATCTTACCCCTGGATTTGCACTGCCACAATATTATCACTGTTATAAATGATCATAATTTTGTATTAATTTGGACTGATTCATATTGATTTGTGAACTTAGTCAATTTTAGTATACAGTTTCCTTACAGACTAATTCCTGGTTAACTTTTAGTTTCAATCTGGGAATCAACATATGACACTATTTCCACTAAAGATCAACTTGTAACTACTATAATTTCAGTTTCTAATGAACATATTTGAACCATAGAATAGATTCCACAATGACTCTCCAATAGGGAGTCTATCAAGAGAATTGGATAGTCTGTTAAGAATACTGAAATTCCTGTAAAAAATCCTTGATTTTAACCAGTTATGTCTTTCTTCACAAAAGCAGAACACATGGAATTATTGTGTAGCAATTGTTTTATCAAGTGTAAAAAATGAGTAAAAAGTTCACAAGTCCTGTTATATACAGTAAAACTCAAAAGGTAAGTACACAAGCATGGGTCAAATTATAAGTTTGTCTGCCCCAAATACAAGTACAAATATTAAGATTTTACTAAATTTTTAACTAATCCTGCACTACTTACTTCCTGCACTTTTATCCGACAGGCTGGAAGGTGGGCGTGTCATCTGAGGGATCGCCTCGCGTATGTAATAGCAACCAGCTCAATCCGTAAATCCAGTGCTCGGGAAGCGCTGGAAATGCGCTTATAACAGAGAGCGAATCAGCAAGTGACGATCAGGTAGTGGTAATTCGATGAAAAGAAACCACTAATTTTAAAGCTGGCGAAGCTTAAGGAGTGCAGTAAAAAGCATGGACTTGAAATACAAGGATAACTCCTTAACTGACATACCTAGTTGTTTCCGAAGAAAAACAACTCATTCCCCACATGGTGGTCCGTGGGAAGAAACACAAGGCAGGAGGGTCACTTTCTTCGGGGAATGGCGAGTTGCTGAGCAGCGACCAATGGTCCGAAGCTGTGGACATCGTTAATGTCCTTGACAGCCATGTCACGCAAATAATGACTGGCAAAAACTGTGTTCGACCGCCAAAAACAACCTTGCATAATGGATGACACAGTACAATTACTGTGAAGTGCCATAGTTGAAGCAAGTGCTCGAATCTTGTGTGGATGAGTGGACGTAGGAGGGTCCAGCCCAGCTGCTTTATATGCCTGAAGAATGGTCGTTCTTAACCATAAGGCAATTGTGCTTTTGCTGACATCTGACCTGTGACGCCCGGGATAGGGGAAGAAATATACTTTTCCTTGTACCACAGACGCCTTTGGTGCGATCAATGTAAGTTTTGGGAGCACGAATCGGGCATAAAAGCAATTCAGCATCGTCTTCAGTGCCAACAATAGATGATAATGGCGGAATGGAAAACTGTCGATCAGGTGGACCTGGTAGTTGATTTTTAGCGATGAAATCCCAACACAGACCCAAATGCACAGAACCATGATGACGAGGTTCAAACTTGACCCTAGTCACGTCAAGGGCGTGAACCTCACTCACTCTAGCCGCAGTCACTTAAGACAAAAGAAAAGCCGTCTTCCTGGATAAATCAGCAAGGGAAACGTTCTCAAGAGGTTCATAAGGTGCACCACCCAGATGGTCTAAAACAGTGTTGAGATTCCATGCCGGCGGACGAAATTTCAACTTTGGTCTTCAAGTCTGAATGAACGAAGCATGGCCTGTAATTCTGGGATTTTAAAAATCCTTCTGCCAGTGGGAACCGCTAAAACTGAGCTAATTGCCGCCAAATACGTGGCAATGGTGCCTCCCTTCAGACGCCTGGACGTTCGGAGATAAAGTAGGAAGTCTGCTATGAACTGAGGAGACACTTTCAGCAGATCCTGCTTCCTGTTAACACAAAATCGTTCAAACGACTGCCACTTGTCGTCATACAAGTGTCTAGTAGAAGTTCTGTGCACCGTCGCAATGGCTTTGGCTGCTCTGGCCGAAACCCCTTAGCACTCAGTGCTTTCTGCAAATGGTCCATGCGTGCAGATTGAACCGATCTGGAGCAGGATGCAGGAGACGGCTGTGAGGGTGCACGACGAAGGTTCCTCCACGTGGGTAGAGGGAAGGGATCTCCTACCACTAGACCTTTTAGAACGGGAAACCAGTTCCTGGCCGGCCACCAAGGCGCGACCAAAATCAGTCGTAGGCAAGTTGTCTCCTTGACTTTTGCAAGAACTTTGGGTAATAGAACTGGTGGCGGGAACGCATACGCGTGAAGTCCCTCCCACGATAGGCTGAGAGCATCCACCGCCCAAACCGCTGGATCCGGGACTGGGGACACATACACTGGCAGTTGATGGTTTTGGCTGGTGGCAAACAGATCTATGTTTGGAGAACCCAGTGCGTGACTTAGGAGAGTGAAGGCCTCCTTGTGTAGCATCCACTCCGTGGGAGCAACTCTGTCGGGTCTCGAGAGAGCGTCTGCTAGTATATTGCGGCACCCCGGAATATGCCGAACTCTCAACAGAATGTGGAGATCGTCAACCAGTTGAAAGAGCCAAAAAGAGTCGAGAAGAAACTGTGAGCGTGTCGACCCTTGCTTCTGGATGTACCATACTACCGTGGTGTTGTCTGTGGCCACCAGAAGACAAGTTCCTCGTTGTCGATGCGCCCAGTGATGAATAGCGAGGATCACGGCCTCCAACTCCAGACTGTTTATGTGCCAGCTTTGGTGTTGACCCGACCAAACGCCGTCGGCTGTCTGGTCGTGTAAGTGAGCGCCCCAACCCTGCATGGAGGCATCCACAAACAGTTGGTAATCCGGAGGCCGCTCTGTCAAAGACACTCCTCCTAAGACGTTCAATGGGCGAGTCCACCAAAGAAGATAGCGATGTAACTGAAGTGGGAGACAAAACCGTTGATGAACGTATGCCCGACGAATGTATGGTTGAAGAAAGCGCTGCAGAGGACGAAGTTGACCGGCGTCAGAGTAGAAGACATATTCTTCCGTCTCTGTTGTCCCAGGCGCTTCCTAGAAACCTGGAGATAAAAGGAGAAACTCTTGGGTGAAAGAACAGCGCAGCTGGCACATTTATGGCCAAGGGAACATTGAGTTGTACAATTCAAACATCGGGGATGAGGGTCTTTACGAGACTTCCAACCCCTACAATGTATACAACTTGTGCTGTACATGGATCTGCAATAAAGCAGAAAACCCAGTAAACGCACATAAAACATTACATTAGGGGTGTCACGATACACCAATCTCCCGATACGATACGATACGATACGTATCACGATTTTAAGGTCACGATACGATACGTATCGCGATACATAATTTTCGCGCCTTTTCATAGCATTACCTTACCGGCAACGTACGCGCTCGCTGATTGGTCCATCAAAATAGTCTAGCCAATCACAAAAGCTGTTAGTTTCGAACCTATTTTTTTAAGTATAGCTAGCTACATCTATTTATCGGAGCGGTCTCGTATAATTTTACTATCAAGACTTTGAAGGAGATGGATATAGCATAAAAATTTGAATCAATAAAGTTTTAAAATAGGGAATCGATACACACAAGCATGTATCGCGTATCGTATCGTCAGTAAAAATGTATCGATGCATCGATACATTCGCGTATCGCGACACCCCTACATTACAGACAATGGTAATGAATACAACAGCATAATTGAGAACAAAGTCTCAAAGAACTGAATGATAAAGACACCCTAATACAAACATAATAAATATACCACTATTGTATGGTATAATATATAAGCCTGAACCAAATAAAACACAACACCTACAAATACGGCAAAGTGTTGTAATGGCGAAGTGATAGAGTGATGACGGGACCGTGTTATAAACGAACGACATCACTAAACAGAACTACTGAACTAAAATAACAAGAGAAAGTGAAAGATATTACCTACACTTCTCGTAGAGGATAAAAATAATAATACACACAAAGTAAGTTTATTAAGCACACACAAAAAATCCCGTAGGATACAATGAACAGCTGGCAACCCACACGTCTAGCGAGGCATGCGAAAAGCAATAATCTGAGGTGGCTGACGTCACCTTCCCGTGACGCATGCGCAGACGAGTAGCAGCTGAGACCAGGAAGTGATTGCAGTTCTACGTCTTTAACATCGTCTGGCAAGCCACGCTCTTTGAGCCGTAAGCAATAAGTGCAGGATTAGTTAAAAATTTTGTGCATGTGAAACATCATAAAAGCTAACATCTAATTGGGTCTATTAGCAATGACAAATAGTAATCATCATCAGCATGACTACGATAGCTACACCTCAGAACTTATTTAAGATCATTGCATTGATGGTTGGGGCAAAAAAAGAAAATGATTCCACCAAAACGCAATGGGGCATCAAAAGTCATACGCTGTACAGACCTTGTTCTGTTTGGAAATTGTTTCAATGAGGAAGTTGGTTCGCACATTGTCCACATTCGGTACCAGAATGGATGCAAACTCGGGCACACTGTCAGACGGGTAGATGTACTCTTCCACACGTTTTGACCAGTGCTCCCACCCACCTGGAGTAATGATGAATATTCATATCATTTGACAGTAGCCATAAGACAGCACTGAACATGTGACACCTCATATTGCCTGGGTTTCTCTTCAATGGTGGAGATTGCAACTCAACCTCTAGTACAAAGCCTAAGTCTGCATGGTCTAGTAGGCTCAGTTAGTAAAGGTTCATGTATCAGTTTGCTTAAACATTAAAATCAAACGACAATGGAGCTAAAAGCCAAGTTCAGGCAAGCACACTTAAAAGTCTCGGGCACAGAAAACTTTCAATTTTGTCATATTTCAGAACATCAGTGACTTATTGTTTATGTTGTTGTACAGTACTATGTATCAAATATTTATCAGAAGTATGTTTCTATTTTTGATATCTATCAATAACAGGTGGCGAGGCAAATGTCAAACAAATTTAAACTTTCAAACAGGTTTAGAAGAACCTTCTTAAATTGTTCACAGTTTGAATGGCACCATTTGTACATCCACATACACAATGAAATACTTCAGCTCATACACAAGTAGTTCAATATTATTTATCAGCAAAGTTACAGACCAAACTTTTGCAAAAAGGAAGCTTGATTACGTGGTTGTGTTACTTGACTGTCCGAACATTAAACCTACCTTGTTCATTGACAAGGTATTCAAATATGGTTTCCCCCTTCTCTGAAAGGTGGCAGACTGAGCTTGCTGGAGTGGGCCACCATAAATTCCTCCATTTTGACTCGGTCATCCAGCTCCAGCATGGCCCCCAGGCTCCACATCAGAGCGAAGATGAACAGTCTCTCCAGATGGTCTGCGGGGAGACAACCCTTGTCATCTTTCTTTGGGATCAAACCTTGGAGCACATCACACGACTGAAAGCACATATCAGTGGCACTTAGAAACAGTATAATGAATACCTTCATATTATGTCAATCTCATCATATACTGACAAATTTGTAGTTTAAATGTCATCTCAGAACAATTCCAGCTTTATGAAATTGCTCTGTATCTAACTGAGTGTAGACCAAAAGATCCACTGTGGTCATATAGCCACAGTCAAGTCATATAGCCTGTCCACGATTCTTTAAACATTAACATATATGTAAATACTGTTAATACAAAAAATCGCTATTTGAAATCATTCGACATACCAAGCATTAAAAAATATTGTGATACATATTGTGGAATGAATGAACTGATGCACAGATAATAGGAGTACTACTGAGTACCTGTCTAATTTGATTACACTGAAGTGTGTCCATCTTTGCAGAAAGGTTGAGGTTGACATACAGGTAGACATCCTCAAAGATTTTGTCATATAAAGTCTGCAGTATTTCTGCTTCCTGGGGATTTCTTGTTCGCAGCCAGCCCTACAAGGCAATTACATTACATCACAAAAGTTTTCTAATTCCGACAATGGAAATGAATGAACTAAAAACTATTGCCATTTATAGAGACATGAAACAGCTTATGTATCACATAATGTTTGTATGTAACAGAAGGTTCTGCACCTGACTAAAGAGCAAGAATTAGCCCTAAAATGTAATGTTGTTATTTATATTTTTTTTTTAACCCTTTGTCATAATGAAGCATAAGGGATGTTTGGACTCTAATTAGGGTTTCAGACCTGTTCATGTTCTAAGACACAGACTGAGTGTCGGTCAGAATGTTGCAAAGACATTTTCATATGAGATCATTAATACCAAAAGAATGTCAATTACATTATGAAAATGTTCTATTGCTATTTGTCTCTAACACTAGAACATCTATTATTCAAATTGTTTTGCAAACCTATATATCCTTTTACGATGAAAATATAAATCAGTGCATTGTCTCACCTGCAAAATTGGCTTCCAGTCCAGAGCAGAGCTGCTCATGTACACCATACCATTCCTAGATACAGTGGCTGGGGAGGCATTGTCGATATTGTGCACTTCAAAGACAACTTTGCAGTTGGGTGCCATGGGGATACGATCACCATTGGCCAGGGTGAGAGTTTTGTTGTCATCCAGCACCGAGTTGAGATTCTCAATCCAGATTGCATCGACAGGACCGTCCAGGACAATCCACACATTCTCGCCTGTCAGGAGGAAACAGTCAACAATTCCACATCATCCAAATAATGATAATAATATCTGGTAAACAGCTAATCAACACTTATATTGATACAGCAACAGTTATCTGGGAAACAGCCAATATATAATGCCACATATCAATACAAAGGAGATTATTTAGGAAACAGCCAATCAAAATTCTCACATTATAATAATACATCTGGGGTTATCTGAGAAAAAGCCACTCAGTAATATTCCAGCTACATGACGTCTGCCTTTCAGTAACTGGGTCAAACTCAGAGATTGGTAATAATACGATACACTATCAACCAAATCGTCAAGTTAACCACCAACACAAGGAAGTCACTTCTTCTGACCAATATAGTTTGTTAAGACCAATTCAAAATGGTGCTGCTAATTACGAGTTTTGTAAGTGTTAACTCAGAACCTTTTTTAGCTTTGAGTGTTCTTCTCCACAGAGTTGAGAAGATGCCATCAGTCCAGTCATTGGTGGCAACATCGAGTCGACCAAACATCTGTGGGGCTGTGATAGCCTTGGGGTTCATTCTCATCTCTCGATGTGGATTGCCACAATCAGTCATGGATCTCATCAACACATGGATACAGCAGGATTTGCCAGCCCCACTGGGGCCAAGTGCCATCATGCCATGACGGACACGCTGGGTCTCAAACAACTGAAACAGGGTCAGGATACGTTTACACATTCATATTTGGGTGTAAAATCTAGAAGATTGCCATTTACATACTTCGCTAAGAGCACATCAAGTGACAAGTTTAAATGAGAACCCTTTTTTGGATCAAAGATATGCATACTTGAGAAATGAACAAATATTTTAGAATTTATGTTTTGAAAGTTTAGACTTGTTCATATAACACAATTGACCATATGCAGTAGAACACTTCCTTTGATTTGATATTACGTAACTGAAAGTACAGCTAAGTTGTGTCCAAAAAGCTGTTTTCAGAAAATTGAACATTAGCGAAACAGTAAAAACGTAACAGCAATAATCAGAAATATGACAGCAGCCTGTAAATAATCACATCAAGAATGAGACAATGCAGTGATTGATATGGCAAGCAATGACCTATGCCAATGGCACAAGGAAAAGCTGTCAACTTTGCAACAGAGTCTTGACCACCATAGGCTGCTGTTGAGCAACACTAACCTGACATCCGTACCTGGTTGAAATAACTGTAATGTCTCCAGCTTTGGTAGGAAGCTGCCACTAATATGAAACACCCATGAATCATTACACTATGGTCTAGAAAATAACAGCTTAATAGATAGTTGTGAATATAAGAATGCTCTATTTCATGCTGACACACCACCACTCACCTGCACAACTTTCAGATTCCAGGAAGGATGGTTGATGAGCATCATTTCATCTACTTGGTTGGCAATAGCAACCTGTAGGTCAGCATATGAGGCACTGTCCAGTACAATGCCAGGGAACAAGTCAGCGATCAAACTCAGGAACAAAGGTTCATCCTCATCAACCTGAATCAAACTTTGTTACATGTACCATCCTCAATTATCCAGTGTTACATTTCCTTATTTTATCACAAATACCTTGGACCCAATTGCCAACAGTTACGTTTTGAGGCTGCATGTTTCTAGAAATAGCCATCTAATCAAATACTTCCTATGAGTGAGAAAATTATCTCATGCCATTGACATTACTTGCAAAGTATGGGCAGATAGGATCAGGATATAGAATGGAGATATAACAAATGAAAATGGTGAAGTATATATAAATGAAAAGTGCATTACTAATGATGCCACATTAAACTGAAAATCCATTTTTGGGCTGCTTTAACCAAATGTTTAGGCATAGACTGTGATAATAATGGTATCACATTCTGTCATAACTTCCCTATATCAGTGTGTGCTCACCAGTTTGGACAGGTTCATGTCTCTCAACACTCTCATCACAATTGTACTCTCTGTATCATTGGGTCGAGACCTCTTCTGTGCACCAAGTGTTCTAAGAACGGACAAGATGTTCCGCAGACCAAAATCATAGTGAACCTACAACATGCGACAGTTAATATGCTGAAAACATGGACGTTCGCAAAGGGACCTTGGAATTACCTAGCAATATTCCAGATAGATAAGAGGAGACCTGTACATAAAAAGTCTGGGTCCCATGCACCAGTGTTTGATAATTATAATGAGCAACATAACATGGAGATGGGTATGATGACATGCATCAACCCTTCCAATTTATGATTATATGCAAGAGTGTCGCAAACAGATACTAACAAAAGTCCCAACAGGGATGCAGAAAGAAAAAAAATATATGTTTGATTGCAATAGTTATTTTCTCATTTTAATAGATGTTACCTGTTTGGAGAGCTGTTCCTCACACAGCTTGTAGAGTGTGTAGAACTTCTGGGCCAAGATGATATTTTCTATGAAACCACATGCAGCCAATTTCACCCTCATGATGATCTGCCAACACAACTCAATTTTAACTCAAAGTAATGGTGTGTTTCAATGAAAACATTTCTTTTTTGAAATTTAATGACTGAATATTCTACACAACTAGCAGGTTAAAAGTATTATCTGTGGGTACATTGTCAGCACAGGGACATATCTGCCAGGTACATTTTGTTTCTTTCAGCGTTGACTTTCATCCAGTACACATGCAATAAGGTTTCAAATTGTGTTTTACATCATCAAAGTATAAAACTTGCCACAATGATAGTTCATAACATGGGCAATGAACCAGAACTACTAATTTCCATCAACCAAGTTGACCATTTCTTAGAAATATTTTCTACCCTTTACAGTCAAAGGGTCTCCTGATCTATCTGCATAAACACTCCTGTACAAGATCACGCCATATCCTAATTCAAATTTTACTGTGTCCCGTTTTCGACAACTTAAACATGATAAAACTCCACATTTCTTTTTTTTATTTCCAACATACCTGTCTGTCTGGAACCATCATAGAAACTGTTCTGAACTGTACTTTCAAGTTTTCTGGCAGCTCCTGTCGACCTGCATAACCAGGGTTCTGAAATAATCAAATAATCAAGTCTAAATATGACAATTGTATTTGCTCAGGATAGACAATCGACAGTGCTCTGTTTTCTGTCTGCATGATTGTTGGATATACTAACAGAATAAACAAACAAACAAAAAAACAAGAAAAAATTGTGTCCAGGGACACGGATGCCCCGCTGCTGTAGGAAGAGTTCTCTACACTGAGTGTGCTCTGGTGATTAATTTCTACTAAATAAATATCATGGTTGATTATAAAATAAATACGAACAGGATGAATAGAACCAAATTCAACGAAGTTCAAACATCTGTAGAAGTGTCAAAATTAAGAAATTGGATGAACAAGGTATGAGATGCACACCTTTAGAGTACAAATGAAACACACATAGAAGCTCAATCAATTCTGTTAAGCAGCTTTTGTGGAGAAGTGGATAGACTTCATCCCGTCATACAGACGGACACAGAGGGTAACCCTATATGCCCCCAGCCATATACGGCGGGGGCATAAACAAGATTAATTAATTTTACACATGTGACATCACATAACATGACCTCACATTATTTAATCTTGCCCTGTTACAAAAAATTGCATAAAAATATTATTGTGCATTGAATTATATGTTTGAGAAAACTAAATGATACTGTCCATAAACCGTATTCAGTATACAACAATGATACCACATAGCATGGAGAACAAAGTTATTTATCCTGACCTTTCTGCAGAAAAAGCTAGTAATACTTTCTGTATAGGACATTTTCAGTTTTGAAATCATGTTAACAGTGACCACTGAGTCACTCATAATATTAAACAGATTCAGTTAGACTCTTAAATTTGTTATATTCCTTTGGGTGCAATGTCAAAATGCCTTTGAAATAAGAAATTTAGATCTGAGTCCAAAAAAAATGCATTCCTTTTCTTGGTTACCATTGTAAGAAATATTCCAAATTCTGGATTCAGTTCCACATTGTCTCCATCAGTGAAGATGAACTCCTTTTTCCGTTCTTTCTTGGCTGTGAGAACAATGTAGATCTGCTGGGCTGCCACGGACAACACAGGCAGCTCAATTCTGTTGAACTCGTCAAAACATCCCCAGGAACCTGACTGTGCTAGACCTATATGTCAATGAAGAATCAATGTAAACATCAAAAATATTTATGTTATAGATAATCTTGTGGCTTGGTGAGGATCTTTACAAGTATTTAGAAGCTGGATATTACATCACAATAACATATCACTTTCACTGCATAATGACAAATATTCTTTGTCACACTTAGCAGGGATTGTTGTACCTCTAATTTTGAAGAAAAAAACCCCAGTGTTTATGGAGACTATTCACTATTCAATCCTTCACTGTGTTTGTATTTGCATACAAAACACATTATACTTTTATGGAAAGAAATGAAAAATTTAACCTACAACTTCTTAAAGGCTTTTGACATTTCTATTCAGGTATAAATATTCAAACAAATCTGATATTGTGAGTTTGGTGGTGGCAAATATCATCAGTACATTTTCAGGATTTTATTTACTTTTCACTGAACATTCATAAAAATCTTTAAATCTTTTTGAAATTGATCTTGACAGCAGAAAATAAGCCAATCTGAAAGCCTGCTATTTGTTGAGACTGTCTTTTTTATGGAATAATGACACAATCATGTTCAATCATCTATTACATGCCTCACCAAAGTATCCTGAATTGGACAGGTTCCAAAAATCGAATTTTCTTATTTACAGTTTTCAAAATGTATCTGCCCAAGGGAAAAGTGGCAGGTCTTTTTTGAATATTCCAGTCATATGATGCCAGCCTGTAAACAACATCCCTGCAAGATATTCCAATGACTTATATTATGTGCAACTATTCCTCCCTGGGATATGATGACACTGCTATCACTTAAGTCATCCTGGCAGAGGAGACGATCCATCAAGCCGCTGCTTATATAGTATGACCAGAAATTATTGAGAATTTTAGGAATATGTTTAATTGGATTTCTAGTATAAACAACCTTGACCAGCTATCAAGTGCTTAGTTTCATTCAAAAGAGACAACTCCGTTAATCCTTTTTCATTAGTTTGTGAAGAGATATCCCCCTTTGTTTACTTGCTAGCAGACGACATTTTCAGTGATCCTCAGTATGGATGATTTAGAGAAGAGGAAGTTCATTTTAGAGTATTATAACAAGGACATCAGATCAGCTAAAGCGATTTCAAGTAGAACAGGCATCCCTTTGTCCACTGTTTATCGTGTTTTGAAAAATATTGCAAATGGATATGGCATTGAGCACCAGGGAGGCGCAGGTAGGCCCAGAAATTGACTGTCGGTGACAGGAGGCGGCTTGGTATTCTTGTTTCTAAAAACAAACGAAGGAGTTTAGAAAACTTAAGGCTGGATATGATTGATAGAGGAACTGTGGCTGTCTGTAAGCAGACAATTAGAACTGAGGTGCATGCAATGGGTTGGCAAAAAAGTCGAGGAATTCCATCACCGATCATGAAACCTGAACAAAAGGAGCGAATGTTGAACTGGTGCTTACAGCATAGACATTTTACTGGGACAATGTGATTTTCTCACATGAAAGTTCTGTGTGGCTGTTTCCTAATACACTGAAATTCTGGACCAAACAAACTGAAAATCTTTGTATCAGCGCCCAAAGTACTGTCCGAAATTTAACCAAACCTGAAGAGGTTTTCAATTCTTTGAAAAGAGTCGTCCTTGGGGTACATATTATGCATTTTCCGGCTGAAAAATGTCCTGTGACAGTTGTATCAATGTTTTTTGAATAAAAAGATTGAACAATAAATAAACTCTTTTATTTATTATACGGCCCCTACCTCAAGGAGTTACCTCCCGTTACGCATGCGCACCAACTGGGTAGGCTCCTAGACCCGTATCATCATTCCTTCTGCTGAATAAATCAGTGAACAGAATTGCGGGGAGGCGGGAGGCCCTACCCCAAGGACGACTCTCTTCAAAGAATTGAAAACCTCTTCAGGTTTGGCTAATTCTTTTTCAGAGAGATCGTCCTTGGGGTACATATTATGCATAAACACAGACTCCCAAAGACCGGAGGCCAGGGAGGAGGGAATTCTGTCCAAGCACACACAAATATAGCGATCGTATCATGGAAAAAAATTGAACAGACGCCATAACACTCACCTGTCACTTGTCCCAGTTTCGCTTCCGCGAGAGGCATTATGGGAGGGGAACTGACAGGGAGGAAGTGTACTCAAAGACGACCTCCATTTAGCATAGTGAGACAACGCACGTGGTGCGAATGTCAACAAAGCCCCAACAAAGCCCCACCCACCATGTGTCTATTAGTGAGCACCGTAGGGGGGAATGTAAATACCGCTCACATTCGACAAATAACTCCTGAGAGAATCGAAAGGGGGTACATGTAGTTAGCTCACAGTAGCAGATATGTCAATAATACGCAATTATTGTACAGCAGCGTCAAAACAAACCAATAAACCAAGACTCACTCGGTCAGGGTGGCAGGACACTGTCCACTGGAGAGAACAGAACGGCCAAAGCTTCGCCGCGATTACGGGAATGTGTATCGAGCTGATAGTGCCGTATAAACGTGCTTGGCGGCTCGAAATAGCGGCAGAGCAGATCTCTTCAATGGGGAGTGCCGATGCAAAAGCTTTGATGCGGCTACTGCCCTGACCGAGTGAGCCTTCAACCCCTCAGGGGAGGCTTGCCCTTAGCCTGATAAGCGGCACAAATACATCGAAACTAGCCAGCGAGACAAAGTCTGCTTGCTCACTGGCACACCAGCCTTCCGCCACCATAACAACAGAACAGCTGGGTACCCGTCGCGGATTCCCTGCGTTAAGTTTGATATAGACTTTGGCGTCTTCACGGACATCCAACGGGTGAGTGCTCAGTAGGAGTGGTCCCGATGTGGAAGGCTGGGTAAGAGTAGGAAGTTCGATAGGAGCTGTCACATGGAAGCGTGATCGACCTTCGATCGGGTAAGTATCTGGGAGGCGAATACTGACACGATCCGTGTGAAACACAGTCAGCGCCCGGGTCGGACGACATAGCATGTAAATCGCCGACCCTACCTCCAGATGTTACCGCCACCAGAAAACAGCTTTCCAAGTTAACAACTGAATGGAAATAGCCGATAGGTGTGAGAAAGTTGGACCGGACAGCCAATCGAGCACAATTGACAAATCCCCAGGTGGACTGGTTCGCCTGGCGCCGGTCGAATCCGTTCAGCAGCCAGCAAAGCGCCAGCGAGGGGTGCTGCCCCAGAAGAGCACCATCGACAGGGGTGTGAAAAGTGGAAATAGCGGTGGAGTAGCCACGAATGGTCGAAGCCGCCAGGCCTTCTTCCAAACGAGCTTGCAAAAACTCCAATACTCGGACTAAATCCGCAGAAAAGGGATCTGCAATGCCCCTATCTGAACACCAGCGCCGCATAGCGGGACCACCTATCCTCGTACTGAACGTTTGTCGAATCCCCTCCGAGCCAGAATTTCGTGTCTGCAACTGCTGCAGGAATTCCGCGTGCCTCGAGGTTAGACCTGACAGAGGCCAAGCCACCCACTGAATCCGTGGATTTGGGTGGGCGCCCGTTCTGAGTGAGAATGTCCGGTCGTAAAGGTAATAGAACAGGAGGCTGAGCCAGAAACCTGAGAATTACCGGAAACCAGCTCTGTGGACGGCAAAGCGGTGCCAGTAGCACAAGTAGCCGAGCTGGCTGGGTGGACAGCTGTGAAAGGACACGGGGAATGAGTGGTAGCGGCGGGAACGCCTGAGAGCACTTTGCCCGTCAATCCAGCAGGAAGGAGTCGGCAGCCAACGCCTCTGGGTCGGTATCCGAGAGCAGAACACGGGTGTCTGATGCTTCCGCCCGGACGTAAACAGATCCACCTGGAACGACCCGCACAACTGGGAGATTACTCTGAAAATCTGCCTGTCGAGCATCCACTTTCGTCGCGGGGCCAGGATCCGGCGAGAGCGCATCTGCTCGCCGCGCTCCAGCCCCGGAGATAAACAGGGAGTACCTGACAGTCGCACTGATCGCACCAGAGGAGAAAGTCCCACGCCTCCCGGAGGAGCGCTGGGGACACCGTGCCTCCCTGCTTCAGGATGTACGACATGGCCGTCTGGTTGTCCAACTGAAGACGGACTACCTGGCCACGGACATGCTCTCTGAAGCGCTCGAATACCAACCGCACAGCTCTCAGTTCCAACACGTTGATGTGAAGGTGGGCTTCGGCTTCGGACCAGAGTCCGGACGCCGACAGACTGCCCAGAACACCCCCCCAGCCCGTGAGGGACGCATCGGTCTGAACTGTGAGAGCTGGCGTCGGGATTTCCAAGGGGATCCCCCTGGTGAGATTCCCGACATTTGTCCACCACTGAAGGTGAGGTGTCAACCACTCGGGGACTGTGAGACTGCGCTCCAGATCCTCCGTGTGAGTCCACAGCCGAGCCAAAGCTTGCTGTATAGGACGCATCCTCAACCGCGCCCGCCACACTACAGAGATCGTCGCCGCCATATGGCCCAGTAGACGGAGCCAAGTCCGTGCTGGTGCCTGGGGCTGGGAGAGGAATGAAGATACCATCTCCCGAACTCTGGTGATCCGGTCGGGCGACAAGGAAACAAGATCCTTGTTCGTTTGGAATCGCAGCTCCAAGAAAACCAAGTCCTGGGTGGGTACCAGGTCGGATTTCTTGAGGTTGATTATCCACCCCAGTCGAAGTTAGAATGTCTATCACTGTGTGCGTAGCATCTAGACTTCGCTGGCTGTGTTAGTGCTTCGAGCAACCAGTCGCCGAGGTAAGGGTAACAACGCCTTCCTTGCGAGCGGCGGGGTAGCCGGACTAACATGAGCTTGGTGAACACCCTTGGGGCAGTCGATATGCCGAAGGGGAGCACCCTGAATTGGTAACACATCCCGTCGTAAGAGAACCGAAGGTACTGCTTGAACGATGGATGTATGGGCACATGCAGATACGCATCCTTTAGGTCGATTGACGTGAGCCAATCGCCAGGCTGAACAGATGAGATCACCGAGCGCAGTGTCTCCATCTTGAAGGATGGTACTTGTAGCATGCGATTCAACCCCTTGAGGTTGAGAATCGGACGGAACCCGCCGTCTTTCTTCGGGACGAGGATGTACGTGGAGTAAAATCCCGCCTGTTCCTCTCCCGGTGAACTTCGTCGCGCAATATGTCCGCCCTTGCCTGACATGACGGCACCGGAGTGCGGCGTATGCCGGTGAAGTCGGGCGGACCTCGCTTCCACAGTGGTAAATGGCCGATGCTGACCGTGGCCAGCACCCAAGCATTGTTGGTAGCCTTCTCCCATTCTGGCAGGAATAGAGAAAGGCGGCCTCCCACTGGGATATGGGGTAGGAGCGCGTGCGTTGTCCCGAGTAGCGGAGCTGACTGGGTGTGACACACGGCTTGAGCGGCAGCCTGATGGGTTAACGGGAGGTCGGGGCAGACCTCCCAGCGCGCCAGCGAAAGGCTGGGAGCTAGTCGAGGACTGCTCCTTGCCCCTTCCCTTGGCAGACCTGCTCCTCCGCCTACCCTACCAAGCGGCCGAAGCCAGCCGGCAGACTTCGGGTGTAGGCTGCACTCCGGCGGAGGAAGGTGGAACGGGAGCGCGGGGGCGAGACACCCGCGGGTGATCCAACAAGGCCTTAGAGTCCTTGAAGGAGGTAGCTGCAGCAGCAGCCTCCCGTATGACCTGCTGGGCCCCTGGAAAGAGGGTCGCTCCCAGACGGAAAGGGAGGGCCAGCAAGGTCTGCTGCGTCGCTGCCGAGTACCGAGACGTCGACAGCCACAGCCTGCGCATCCCCATGACTGCGCACATCACCGTCCAACGCAGCAGACCTCAAAGAGTCGCCGAGGTGTGCCTGAACTTCCGAGCTGACGGAGCAGCACGACATCTTGTGAAACGTCGCCAGCATGCCCTCCGCCTCCAGGGCCGACCTCTGAATCGAGGAGAGGTAGGCCTGCGTGGACCACCACCCTGACCTGCTGCATAACGTTCCGGTAGACCTCCTCGTAGGTCCGTGCGTGTGCTGCAGGGAGCTCCAGCGAGGGCAAGCGGTGGAGTGAGGCGCCTTGCCGAGCAGCCGGAGCTGCTCCGAGGAAGCTGAGCCTCCCCAGGGCGCGGAAGTGAACACGCACTCGTCAACGATGGGAACAACGAACAGGGAGTCCTCCCCAAGTTGGTACCTCCGTGCATCTAAGTCCGCAAGTCGAACCGAACACGGGTACCAGACGAGAGGGGCTCGACCACGTCCTGAACCAACGAAGGCAGAATGCGGAGCTGCGTCTGCGAGGGCTGCCGAGGGGCAAACGCCTCGCCTGGCAAGCGGAACTCAGCCGAGTCCGGCGGCCAACAGGCACCACGCGGCTTGGGTAGGCCCCTCGGCAATTCTTTGCCGGACCTCCCGCAGAGCCGGCAAAACGAAACCTCCGCCATGCTCCTCTACCTCCCCAAGCTCCATTGACTCGGCGCCGAACCCCGAAGTCAGAGGCTGGGTCTCCTCCGAAGGGACCCTAACCCCGACCCGGTGGGCGGCCTAGCGCTAGGGAAGCACAGAGAGGAAGAGCAGACAGAGCTCCCACGCCGGCGCCTGAAAGCGTGCACGGACCCAGTCCCGAGACGCTGGAGGCACACCAGGCAGAACTGGTGCCTCCGCCTCATGGGGCGGAGTGCGCAGGACCGGAACACCAGGAATACTCAACGGTCCCTGCGCCAACTCCGAGGAGGGGGACTGGGGAGCACCTCTCCTCGGGGCAGCCGAGGCATCTGGACCCGAAGCCAGAGGCAACGGGTCTACAGATGCCTCAAGGCTGAGGGATCGAGAGCCGAGCCCGGGCGATCCCACCCTGACTCTCCGCCCCCGTCCGAGTGAGCGAGGAACTCCTGGCGGAGACCTCCAACAGACTCACCTAACGAGGGACTTCACAGAGACCATATGCTGCTGAAACAATTTGTCCATTAGTGTCATATCAAAACCACCAGTACTAGCGGGAGAGGGGGTTTGGCTTCGGGATTTTTTTCCCTTACGTGACTGTTTCTTAGTCTTAGACGGGGGACCTCGGCCAGTTCCCCACCCGCCTCACGCATCTCTTTGTAAAATAGCGTGTCCGCCGCCCTCCGCTTTTGGGCCGGGGAAACCCCAAGACATATGGTACATGTGTCCGCATCATGGCCAGTCTTTTCTAGACAGGCGACGCGACTGGTCATGCCTGTCGGCCCGTGGAATGCTCTGTCCACAGACCGAACAGGATGAAAAGGCCTGAAAGCAAACACGCAAGCATGTAGCTAACGGCGGGACCAGCAGCATATATACACGTAGAAAACATTGAAAAATACGCGAAGGCTACCACGGAAAGTAATAGTTGGTTCAATACGCAATATTACGACCACATGGCACGCTAAACTTCCCGCCATGGCAGAGCAACACGTCGCGTAAACCACGGGAAAGTTCGCGTAATATAATATAATACAAAGTCACAATTATGAAACAACCAACTGTAAAGCTTTACTGTTCCTTTTCATAGGCAAATAAAGACCATACATACAGGTGGTGTCTCAGACATAGTCGTTTTCTTTTTGAAGAAAGTTCAGCACTGTACGGCTCATGAATTCTCTAGCGACTGTTCATGGCAGTGACAGCAGAAGGAATGATGATCACGGGTCTAGGAGCCTACCACCAGTTGGTAATACGCATGCACAATGGGAGGTAACTCCGTGAGGTAGGGGCCGTATAATAAATAAAAGAGTTTATTTATTGTTCAATCTTTTTATTCAAAAAACATTGATACAACTGTCACAGGACATTTTTCAGCCGGAAAATGCATAATATGTACCCCAAGGAAGATCTCTCTGAAAAAGAACTAATGTGTGGGGTGGCATATCTGTGTTTGGGGCAACGCCCCTCTGTGTATTTGAAGGGAATATGAACAGTGATCGGTACACAGATGTTCTTGAGGGACATTTACTTCCATCTGCTCACGTGTTCTATGGAAATATTTTGGATTTTCCAGCAGGACAACGACCCAAAACATCGTTCAAAGCATTCACGGGATGGTTTCGGACCCAAAATATTACATTATTAGATTGGCCAAGCTATAGCCCTGACCTAAATCCAATAGAAAATGTTTGGGCACTTATGAAGGAAAGTGTCAATAAGAAAAAATCTGACAAATATTGCTGAAATGAAAGAAGAGGTGGTCTGATATTGGGACAGCATGGACCACGACTTTCTAACTTCTTTGATCAGTAGTATGCCCTGCCGCATTGAAGCCTGCATGGCTGCCCATGGTGACTTGACAAAATACTAACTGTTCACCTGTCTTTGAATCTGGAGTTATGTTCTGCTAATATTCACATTTAATACGTGAGTAATGAGTGAAAAAATATATAAAAAATTACAATCTTTAAATTCTCAATAATTTCTGGTTGTACTGTACCTAACATGGAACTTTGTCATGCCTCAGGGTCTATTTGTATTATATTCAAACCTTTGTAGATACGTCCAAGTCCTCTGAAGTCCATCTGATCAGAACAGTTAAACACAACGACATATTTGCCGAGAGCCTTGCCCATGTCTTTAGTTGTCTCTGTCTTGCCAGTTCCAGCAGGTCCTGCAGGGGCACCTCCCATAGACATCCCCAGAGCTTGGGCTAGTGTGATGTAACACCTGCAGTACCAAAAGAGCAGTATCAACACCCTCATCGTATTTCCTATCACAATATAATCTGGATCAATTTGTCATCTTACTTTCATCATGAGGCTGTTTTTGAATGTCACAGTGCCACAAGTCAATGTCAAATTAAATGTTTCTTTCATTATTTAAACATATTACTCCAACACATTTCATCTCTGTGGGCTGGCTTGCATTTCATGACAATGACAAATGGACTGATAAAGTGAAAACAGACTTTAATGCTTATTTTTAGTGGTTGCTTTGAAATCAATCTTAAAGAACTTTTGAAATTAAAAAAAAGATAACAATGAAGACTTGCAGTTTGTCATGGGCACTTCGTTTGGAATCCTAGATAAGTCCTCGGAAATTTTCACTAAACAGTACAATTTGAGAGATATGTTGTTACCTGTCAGTTAGAGGGGTAATGACCAGTCTATCAGTACAACCAAGGAACTCGTTTTGGTAGATGTTGTCTACATCAGTGATCTGTACAATACACTGGTCAGTCTCCTCCTTGAAGTAGAATCTTGCTTGTTTCAACCACTCAAAATCAGAAGGAGTCTTGATATGAAGTTTCACCTACAAATACAATATCCTCTTAGTTAAAAGGGCACAGAGTATCACATAGGTATCAGGGGTTTTGTGTCAGGCAAACTTTCTAATTAGACAATCAGTGTCAAAGTTGTTATATTCTCTGTAAGAGAACCACTCAGAGGTTTTCGTAAATCTGTGTTGAAAATGAACTTAAATTAGTATAGCCAAATGGAATTAATAAAGGCTCATTATAGAGACTGTTTTGGATACTATGTATGTGTTAAATGCCATGGCAACTTCAAAATTTGGTGTTCCCTTTCATATTGTTTCGAAATTCTTCTTTGAGAGGCATTTTAGAAGTTGTATAGATGAAGGAAAACCAAGTTCTATGGATAGTCAACTTCTTTATTTCAATGAGTCGTTTCGGTGTAGGTACTAACACCGCTATCAAGCAAGTGATGATGGACTTAATTGCCATGTCTCCATGTAGACAGCGGATAACTTCTTTGAGAGGCATTATCACTTGCTTGATAACGATACCGCAATTAGTACCTACACTGAAACGTCACACTCATTGCAATAAAGAAGTTGACTATCCATAAAACTTGGTTTTTCTGTTTCGGAAATGTTTTAAACAGCAGACCTGTGACAAATCTTCACCAAGCAATCCAGGGACTGACAGACTTGTATTAATTCTGAAGTGAGAATTTACAACTGTAAGGCAGGTTACTAACCAGATCATCAAAGATGTCTCGTTGATGCACATGGATGGTAACAAGAGTCTCGTACTTGATTCTCTCCACCTTGGTCAAGTCATGAGTTGTCTGCTCAATGAGTTTATTCAGGAGGTCAAGGAACTTCTGATTGGTGGTTGGCATAATCTTCTTGTCTGATCTGGCCACTCTCAGAGCATCCTCTGCATCCCTGGTCCACAACATTTGGATACCCAATAAGCCCACCTACAGCAAGGAAACAGCAGTCATGTCTTATGTTTGTTGAGTAACACTGCATTCAGCAGAATTTACATATATATGTAATGGCAGCCTGACTAGGAAGTCTGGACAAGACAAACCAGTGATCGATGTTATGAGAAAAAATATACAATGCTGAAACACAATGACAAGAATACACCAAAGTCTACATGTTTAACTAGACCTGTGAAGGTCCGGGTTAGAATATTGATCTTCAGTAACACATGCTTGTCATAAGAGGAGACTAACGGGATCGGGTGGTCAGGCTCTCTGACTTGGTTGACATATGTCATCGGTTCCCAATTGCGCAGATCGATGCTCATGCTGTTGATCACTGGATTGTCTGGTCCAGACTCGATTATTTACAGACTGCCGCCATGTAGTTGGAATATTGCTGAGTGCGGCTAAAACTAAACACACTCACTCACATGTTTAACTACATGATCGTCTAAGATGTTTCGTACAAGATTGCTGGGGACCAGTTGTCCATGTTGAATCATTTCAAATACATTAATACACTTTACTGATACAATGAAAGTAATTACTAAAATGTAGACAACAGACACAGATACATTGTTCATTGTAACCACAGTTTGCTATACCAATTTAAACTGAAATATAATGTCGAAAGAAAATCAGGTTGCTATATCCGACAGTTTGTTATCAAGGTGGATACAACACACAGTGTGATGCATGAAAACTCAAACTAATCTTACCTTTTCATCAAACTAATAGTTTTGAGTCTCAATCAAGACTGATGATTTGTTACCTGAGCTGGGACTGAGTTAAGGAATCCAAGAAGTTCAAATTCCGGAGCGTTAATGGTCCTGAAAGCATCTCTGATAACACCATGAAGTGATTTCATCTGTTCCCTCAGCAAATCTCCTAGCCATATCTCAACATTTCCCTGGGCTATCACTTTTTTTTCAAGCTGAAAGTAATTGAAACCCAGTGGTTGTAGTCGTGAGCATCAGTATGTGCATTTTGGATACAATGTCATGTGCAAGCAAGTTAACTAGCCTGACCTGATCCAATTAGATTACCGTCTATAAGCCGAATTTTGAGGACCAAAAAAATATGTCTGTAGAAGGGGGTCGTCTTATCTATGAGATACAATTTCACGGAAATACTTTTTAGCTCGCCAGTGCCCTGCCAGGATGATGTTACAGGTTACCGGTACATCTGCCAGTATGTTTGCCACGATTACAGCGTTTATGGTGTGAATGATGAATAAAATACATATTAACCTGTATGTTTTCATTATTTCAGCATATTATTACATATTAGTCATTATGACATTTATCGTACAATCGGGATGAATTCTGGCACAGTCATCAGTAAAATATAATACAGAATACTATTATTTAACCCACAGGAATATATCCTACCATTGTGTAATTTTAATTACAGTTTTTGCTCTATAAATTAATTAAGAATAAGTTTACCGCGTGTATTTGAGCCGAAATAGCACTCAGCTGTGCACATGTTTCCCTGGCCGATCAAGTTCAAACATGCACAATAATATAACAGGATGAATACTGGCCCAGTCATCAGTAAAATATAATACAGAATACTATTTTTTTAACCCAAAGAAATATATCCTAGCATTGTGTAATTCTAATTAGTTTTTGCACTATAAATGTAAAATATATAATCAACACAACAGTTATACGGACCCTCATGAACTAGGTAAGTTGTACGGCACATGGAATGGGGTAAAAAAGCAAGCCATTTAAAATCAAACATTTTTACCGATGTTACTGTAAACTAGCAGTCCATGGAAAACAAGACGGTAATAAGCAAGCCAGTTTGTTGACATGTTATCGTCTAACTACAATATGTATGCGAAACAAAATATATTATCCATTTCCTGTCAACTACACTTCATTTGATGCGTGAGTAGACGCAACATGATTGTGAATTTTTTTAATGATGTGGACCAAAGTTATAATTATTGGTAACCGCCAGTTGTCTGTGGTCTGTGTTTGCCACAATTAGGACCCCATCGCGGGGGGTCGGCTTATGTACGAAACATACTATTTTGACACTGATTTTAAGGGTCAAGTTTGGGGGTCGGCTTATCTATGGGGTCAGGTTATAGACGGTAATATACGGTACACAGGGCATAATGCTTAATGTGATGTCACTTGTCTGTCATGCCACAATAAGGTATATTTCTTGCTGTATTAAATAGTGGCCTGCACATCATGCAATTACATAGTTATCTCCCTTTTCATTCCCCACACTGCTACTTCCAGTTTCTTTTGATGCTAGAGGTATCACATCCTTGCATTTGTTACATTCAATGTTGTGCATGTATAGAGATGCTATGAGATTATGAAGTGATTATATGACATAGTGTGGCAGTGGTAATGGTTGTGAGAGAGATGGCACTTTACTGAGGGCTGAACCGACCACGCCTCTGGGTTAGTGCGTACGCTAATTATATTGGTCGAAACTGTGACTTATAATAACATAAAGATTATTGTATCCTGTGATTCTGGTATAAATTCAACATTTCAGCATCATCCTAACTCCAAAATCCCAATAAATAATCAATGTTATGTCAACACTGAAGCATACCACTGATTTATAATAGTTATGCCTGGCATGTGTTATTTTTTTAAACACCTCACCTAATCCTTTAGAAACATACTATGATTTTTTCCCCTTCTTTGGAAATAACGGCCAGGATTCTGTCATAGTCCTTTTCATGGAACTCCACTTCATTGACATTCTCAAACACCCCTAGCAGGTGAGACTGAAACCCAAACAAGTAGATATTTACAACATATGCATATATATCTTATTCATGATAACATTAACAATTAGAAAGTCATACCAAACATTGCATAAAAACATATGATTTACCTCTCACTGGGCTTAAACTGGTTGTAGAATGCAATTGTCAAGAGTTTTCCAACAATATTTGTTTATAATATTTTCAAAAGATTATTTCTGATGAGTAATAAAACATACCAACATGGAACACAACATACTATATGTTGAGGAGAAAAATCAGTGTACCTGAATTGTGTGAGAATCACTTGCTTGTCCAAGTATTTCCAGCAAAGAGGGATCTGAGATGAAGAAGAACCTGGGAAACACCAGTCTCTTTTTCTCCAAGTACCTGTACAAAAATATTATAGGTGGTCTAAACACAATGTGTCAGAAGTACATTGTTTTAGCTCAAAACACAGCAGTTTTCTCTACACATTTGTTCGTTTACTGGTTATCTAATGCCACACTTAACAACATTCCAGCTATATGATGGCAGTCTAAAGAATCAATCTGGACTTGGAAAATCAGTGACTGATGAACAATGTCTAGGAATTTCAGCATTTAATGACATGCAATCAACAAAGTCATCAAATCATAGAAGTCTCTTTGTGACATTTGAGCAGGAGTAGCTACAAGGTTACACTAGTAAGTCCAAGTTTGCCAGTAATTTCAAACCTTGCAGCTTAAGTATACAATCTGTGCTCAAACCCTACTGTGTGTCATGATCAGCTGTTCATGCCAACACTAGTTTTCTACTGTATGTTTTGTTTACCCTGTGAGAGATTTCTGACACAGCTCTAGCTGCTCCAGCAGATGAGGTAGGAGTTGTCCCATGGTTTCATCCCCAACACAGCACTGAACAACATTGGTGACCTCATGTGCACGCTGCATGATCTTGCCCCATGACTTGTCTATATTCTGGAACCTCTTGGCTTCCTACAACAGAAAGGATAAAATCTACTGGATGGAAACGCATAAATGAAACAACCTAAAAAATGATGCTTCTTTTTAAAAAGTTGATCAAATCATGATTATCCTAATGCCAGATGTGTCTAAAAAGTTTCTGTAACACTGTCTTCTCCACTTGAGTTATAGTAGGAATATATCTAAATCTGCACAGTGGCCAATATTCAGCCCCAGGTCTTTTGCAAATGTCAGCAAATATTCCCTAAGTTGAAAAAATCTTCCCAGTTCAGGATATAAACCGAAAGTAGTAATAGCTGATGTTTTGGTTTTGTTAAATGTAACTTGTATTTCACTGTCTAATTTGATCAAATAACAATCTACTTCTAACATTGCCTGCAGCACAATATTTGGAATACTGTATACATTCATATGTAGTCTTCTAACTCTAATTCTGTTCAACATAAGTAGACATATGACATGTTGTACCTCACTGTAAGAACAGTTAGAACACTATATCAAGTTTAAGAGGTTTTAAAAATGATCTGATGTAAAGCCAAGAAAACAGGTTACAATATCTGTATACCACATGTATACAAACACTGAAATCTGACTAATTTAGAGCCTCACAAGGGGAGGAAGAGGAAAATAAGGCCCTTTATTGCCGTGAGAAATGTCAATTTTTTAACTTCAGGAAAAGTCTGAAAGATTTGGATTTATGCCTAGGTCAAATATGTAAACATGACTAATATGAGAGAAAAGATAAGAATGTTAGAACTTCAAATGGAAATTTAAGTACAAGTAAGTCTGTAACACAAGATGAATGGATTACCACAGGTCTGCAATGTTTTTATGTGCAATTCAACACCACTTTATGTGAGTAATTGATGAGACAAACTGGACCTTGATAACCCCTTTACTTCTAAACAGGGCTATGGTTGAAAATATTCTTTCTATCGTTTCTTTACCTGAGGTAGCTGTTTGGCAATATCTCCACCAACAAAGACAGCTTCCAGGTACACCCAGAGGTTCTGTACAGTCATCCAGTTCTCAAGAATGTCTGTAGTATTGGACAGATTACCAACCCATGTCTGGATGGTTTTCTTGAAGGGTGCATTGTATCTGTCAAATGCAAAATTTCCTGTTATTGTCCATATTTTAAAACTGTGGCGAAGCTTTCAAATGACAAGAAACCTCTCCAAGCGTAAGATTTGTGAAGTAAGACGTGTAAAGAAGAGAGAAAGAGAGAGCAAAAATCTACTTTATAATAGTGAGACTCATGTGAAATATGTGTGAGAGTTAACAGGTTGAGTGAGTGAGTGAGTGAGTGAGAGAGTGAGCAAGCGAGAGAGCGAGCGAGCAGTATTATGCTGCTTTCAGCAATATTCAAGCACTATCAACTGTACTCATGTATATAATTGATTTAACAACACAGACTTTCTGAAGCTTCTCGATACCAGCTGATGAAAAAGGATCAGTTAAAACAAATCAATGTGGGATTAAATACTTCATTATTTAAGTTTTGAGACATAAATCAGAGCCCACAAAAACAGAATTCTGAAAATGTCGAATTACCTGTAATACTAAAAAAACATACTGACATGAAGAATCACAAATATATTTTAGTACTCATCCATATGTTGTATTATGGTATGATAGCCATTCTGGAACTTTTGGAAAAAGAAAGACAAACGAGCATTGAAAAGTACAGATAATGATCTTGTGGTAAAAATAGGATAGGACTTATTGCTTGTTTTAGTTACAGCATAAAACATTGAGAAAAATGTTCGGTTGATTTTGTTAGATATAAATCGTGCACCCCTAAACTGAAGATGTTTTTGTCTGGCATTCAACTTTTGAACTGGTCCCTACAGTACCTGTTGTTGCTAAGCAAGTGAGCTGAGAATCATCAAACTGTCCTCCAGGCGGGAAATGGTCTCTGTCATTATCCACCTCCCTTCAGAAGGAGTTCTCCTCGAAGCCTTAAAGTTGGAAAAAGTGATAGTTCGTCCATTCCAGTCACTGATCACTGCCTTAAGTTTGGCTTCAATATCCTTCTCCTTCACAGCTGAGAGGATGCACACACATCCTAGAGAATCAACACTTATGGTTACAGCAATTATTTCTCAAGTGTAAAAATATTTGAGAGAAATCAACATGCTGGTCAGGAACACCATCAAACTGGGAAAGTCTGCTTTCTTCACTATTATTATTCATGTTGGCAACATCTATTCACATTGAAAAGAATTACTGGAGAATTAAAGTCATGCGATTGTTGCAAAATGGTGACACCCAACAACGAACAAATACTAGGGCAAAGGTTTACGCATGGCAGCATTTTTTTAATTTGTCATGATTAAAAGTTGGTAATTAAAGCAATCAAACATTGTGAATTTGTTGTGTTTTGCCTTATAATAAAGCATTAACTCGATTATGATTTTTTCTGTTAAAGAAATTCTTACGTACGCAATATAATGCAATACATGCTCGCCAATATATGCTTTTAAGCATCGTAATATAAATATAAAAATTCTCAATAAGCAATACACACCTACTTGGAGGTCTACAAGCTTTATATGTATACATATATTATATTGGAACTGGCAACTTTAGGCATGGGATCAACACAAAATAGTACTTGAATCATTTTCTTCAGTAAGAGAAGTGTAATCCCAAATATAAAATCTCTTACATTTGACCATCTCAGAATGACATTATGTATTTATCACTTTAGTCAGAACTTATAAATTTTACATGCTATCTCCAGGTATGACGATTACGGCTGCGCGCACCATCAAATATAAAACACATAATGTTTATCAACATTGTAAAATAAACACATTTGCAGCCAGAGGTGGAAGCTCTCCCAAAGTGAAGTTTCCCACTTGTGTGTCACCCTGGAATGTGATGGCATGTGATAACTGAATTCACTGGGGCTTGCAGAAGGTTAAAAAAATGAACTAAAGAAACAAATCTGTTCTCCAATTGAGATCAAACTTTTATCTAATACTTGATATACTCATTTCACCTTAACTAAATGGCATGTTTTAAAATTTGGGATTAACAGAAGATAGGACAGCTTATAAAGAAAAATATTCATACAATGAAAAGTTCACAAGATTAGAAATCAAACCAAGCCTCTTCTGTCAGATGAAAATGTTTCGTAAAAGGCCAGACTGTATATATAACTCTATGTCCTAACAATGACAATCCACACACACAGCCCCCATTCATGCCTTACATTCTAAATGTCACCAACTGCCATTCACACAAATGTGCAGTGGCTCCAATTTATCTCCCTTACATGAGTCTCTCAGATCCTATCCAATAAGGAAAAGACATTCATTTTGTGTTTTCCAGTAAACATATTATTCTAGCAATAAGATGCAAAAGACTATTGATGAACATACACAGCTAATGCAAATAAGCCATCCAAACATTTTCAATCTGATGAAGTAAATGTCAAGGGAACTTGTCTACCTACTTCAATCTCCTCCTTGTATTTCAGTAGAGGGAGCCTTCATGATGTCTCTCAGTGTAAAGTTATCTGAGTCAAAGTCAAATGTGTGTCCTGTGAGTTTAGCTATTCTGTGTCCCAGTGCCTTTTCCTTCATTAGCCTTGTTAGCCATCAGCTCAACAAAGGGACATGACTCACTGAAGTCATCAATCTTTTTCTTCAAATCTAAAAGCGCCTGCCATTCTTTCAGACCTTTAGGAAGGCGGCGGCATCTACAAGGAACAAGTGATTCTTATATGAAACCATAAAGGCTATTTCCATATTACCTTAAAAGAAGTAGCCCTGAAACATTACAAACAATAAGGTAATTTTCACATAAAATGTTACAAATGTTTGGATTTGATATGATTGTATTTATCAAGAGATTTTGATCTCACAATGACAACTTATAACAATTTCAAAAAAAGAAAGGATACCAAACACAGTATTTGGTTCCACTGACATCATACATTGTTGCCAAACAGACTGAGAAAAAACTCATGTCAATATCCAGATTTACAGACTGCTGAGGTAACCTTGTGGTACTGAAGCGTAATATCAGCAAAGAAGCAGGGTTTAACTCCCCACATGAGTACAATGTGTGAACCCCACTTTCTATATTCCCTACCATATCCGCCTGGAATGTTGCTAGAAGTTGCATTAAACCCTATTTACTCACTCTTGTGGTGTGGAGCACACCAAAATCAAGGCTACCCATCAAAACATTTACCTGTTCTGGAGGTCCAACAATTCTGAATTGATTTTGTCAATGTCAACCTCAACCCAAAAGGATGTCAAAATATCCACTGATGAGGGTCATGACCGTGTTGTAGAGACCATACAGTTTCTGCAGCAGATTCAACTCCTTCTTCACCTTGACAAGAGCTGGGTGTCTGTGACTGTCAGGCCAAACAGCTGCTCTAGCTGAGTAGATAGAGTACTTGCTCCACAAATCATCAAATTGACTCTGTTGAACAAGACCATATTAGGTAAATGATTCCATTGATGCAGAGTTTTTATTTGGTCAGCAGTCCAAAGTCACGAGTGTAGTTAATTGTTTTTTCTGGTGTATTAAGATAAGCTCAAGCTAATGTATATGCTACAGTTAAAATCTACTGAAAATTCACAGAGGCGTCAGAGGCATCTGAATGTGAACACAACAACTCTATTTTCACTACCTCTACCAACATCTTTGTGGACAAAGCCATTACTATCATATAACATTAGTCAAATTAAAAGGGGCTGTGGTGTGTCACTGAGGCCAAGTAATTCCATGAGACCAGATGAAGACTCATCACCTTCAGATCTATCAATAGTATATCAATATCCAGCAGAAACTTGACTCTTTGAAATCAAGATCTAATTTAATCTTCAATTATCTTTAGTAGTATAATACACAATGGTTGAACTGCGATAGGGACTTACCAAAGGCTTAATTTTTTAAAAATTAAGCCCTTGGTGAGACCTATCGCCGTTCATTGTGTATACTAACTAGTTACATGCAAATTTGTGAAAATTGGTAGAATAGTTTCTGAAATATTTGACTTTTAAGTGAGCATGGGAATTAGGTCGGGAAAGAGGCAAAATGTCCAACTTTTCATAGTAATTAAGTCTTTATTAATCTAATGAAGTCATCGAGAGAGTGTTCCCAATGCCGTTTTGCTATAAGCGTAACCATCTGCCGAGATGCATGCAAAATTTCACGAAAATCGGTCAAATAGTGTAGGAAATAATCACTTTTAGTGAGCAGGCATGGGGTTGGTTACGTGAAGGCTATCAATC